AACACGGGTGTGCATGTCACATCAACACGGGTGTGCATGTCACATCAACACGGGTGTGCATGTCACATCAAAGGACAGCCCGGAGGAGCAGTGCTGACCCCACAGTCAGTCAGTCCACCAGGCTCCTCCCTACAGGCGCTCTACCCACCAAGAAGCCTCACTAGGCCTGCTCTTTAAATGGTAATCTCCTGCCACCTTCTCACATTTGGCAACCACAAAATTCAGTCTTACTTCTGAAGCCAGAAAAATGCCTTTAGAGGAAATTCAAAAAAAGAAAAATTACAGAAGTAGTAAAATTAGGCAACCGAAAGTCAATAAACAGATATGCACTGTGAGAGAGGCTTTTAAACATTTAGAATTGTAATGACAATATTCCACTTATTCTAGAACTAAAATTATCCCATTGTTTGTAGCATTTCAAGAAAAACTGTCATTAGAATTATGTTTGTAGCCTTTACATAATTATATTTCCAAAAGTCCTATGTATGTATAATAGTAGTAACTTTATATTATGGGCTACCTAACATATATAACAATGTATTTAATCATCTAACTTTTAGAAATATTTCATTGTATTTTCACATTAAATTGTCTTAGAGTGAAGTTTAAGAAGTAATTAAGTATTGAAAACACATTGCTACTTTCATTAGCTCATGACAGTATTGGTATATGTGTATGATCGTATGACACAGTCTCCGTGGAGCTCTGTCTGTCCTGGAACTCACTCTAGACCAGACTGACCTCTCACTCACAGAGATCTGCCTGCGCTTCCCTCCTGAGTGCTGGGATTCAAGTTGTGCATCACCACACCCAGCTTGTAGGTATTTACTATTAAAAAGCCATCACTATTCTGAATTCCTACTAAGAATTAACGATTATGATCAATATAATGAAAATGGGGTGTTCAATATTACAGTTCACCAGGAATCATCGAAGAGTAGCGGCCGATCTCCCAGACTAACACTGCGGGAATAGAAAAACACTGGAGGGAAAGACAGGTTCCACAAAAATAAGTCATTTTATTTTTGATGGTTGGATTCGGGTCAGTAGGTAACTTTGGAAGTGATACAATTTTAGGAAGAATACACATAATTACATCTCTTTTCTAACTTTGTACTATGATAAATAAGGAACAAAATTACATCTCTTTTCTAACTTTGTACTATGATAAATAAGGAACAAATGGAGAAAATGCGATATATCCCAAAGTTTGAGCAAAATGCAGTTCACACATGGAAGACTAGCACTGAGAAAGTTTATGAATAATCTATAAGCTTGTATGTCTCTGGAGAAGATTTATAATGAGCCACTTGTCCTGTTGTCCTTCGTGCTCTTAAACTGCTTCCTCATGAATGGTAGTGAAGGCAGGAGACTTCCCAGGAAGAGCAGAGGACATGGCCGCCCGATGGGAGTGTCTAAGAGCTGCAGGACCGCAGCAAAGGACATGGCCACCGATGGGAGTGTCTAAGAGCTGCAGGACCGCAGCAGTTCCTCCACACTGCCAGGATCCTCTCCCTGCACAGCCCTGCACTGCACAGGGAGGTGCTGCGCTATTGCGGGCTTCCAGGCAATCACAAAATTAGGATTAACATATATCTATACATCTTTGGACGCACACAGCATACTCCAAAGACTGCCAATGGCTATACAAGAAAGGAAACATCTCGCCTGACATCATGAATGTAGTGCATGGAGATGGGGCAGGGGTTGTCTATCCTGATGTCTCATGAAGCAACGGCTTCTGAAGGATGACTGCCCGGCCATGAGTGCTCACCCTGCCACCTACTCACCGTGGGGCCTTAGGCAAACTGAACTTTTCCATCCTTCAGTTTCCCCATATGTAAAATGAAGATAACGTAACCATTTTATAGATTTGTTGTAAATATTAAATGGGACAAGACAAATGCTCAGAACCATGCCCCGTTCCCTTGGTGAACACCAGGAACTCCACTCAGAAGAATGGTGACAGGCCTAAGTGGCAAATATGCACGCACGTGCAACGTGCAAACCTGGTAATTTCTACAGTTCCTGGGGCTGGAACTATACTCAAAACAACAGCTTGAGAACCAAGTCGCTGAGTCTTCCCTGATTGATGTGGCTACGAAAACGGAACTGCTCTGTAACATAAGAGACAAAGCTCTCACGAGCTGGGTGTTAGCAGCATCCATTCCATGCCTGCAGTGCGTTTTAAATACGATTTCAGGTTTGTCTTTAATTTGTGTGAGCTCACATTCTCGCACGGCTTTGTAATTGATGGCATCTTTCCCGTCCCATCTGATGAAAGTATACGATTGCTCCTGTGCACCCTAGATACTATTATGGTGTGTCCCTCCTCAATCCTTACGCATTTCTGCTTCTTAAACTGGGTGATAATTAAAATCTGTAGCCTCAGGGAAAAAGTATACCCACTCAGTAATATTACAAGTTTCAAATTCTGTTGGCTTGCCAAGTATTTTAAATGTTCTATATGATCAACTACAAATATTTCTGCCTGATTGTGCAATAGAGTTAAAACAATGCTTCCGTTACAGTTGCACAAAAGAAAATATTCCCAGATTGGAACAATACATGTGGGCTGCAAAATTTCATGTTGGCAAAATATGACATTTATGAAAACTAACTTGGAGAAAATCCTATCCCCGCTCAGCTGACACTGTGCTGCCAGGTTTCCTACTGCAGCGACAGTCAGTCCACCTACAGGGAGCGTGGAGGGGGCGTAGAAGATGGCGTGAGCCGCGGTGGGTACGGCGTCAGTGAGCACCTCTTCTGCTCACATCACTGTGACCCTCTCTGGGGACAGATGAGGAACTGTTCCTCCCAGGCTTTCTTCTAGAAACTGGCTCTTTTCCCAGCCCTTTTTAATTCTTTTTAGCTTTCGGCTGATGCACGGGAGGAGTAAAATCATCTTCCCCACAATTACAACCGAGGGTAAGACCAGCGCAAGGACGAAGTTCGGAGGGGTGTAAAAGCGGTAGTACTCTTCGGTAAAAGCGCGTTTCCATCCGTAAATTAGCACGTGGAAAGTGCTGATGAGCAGAGCCACGTAGCCGAGCGTAGACTTGAGACGGAGGAAGGAAAGGAGATACATTACTCTCCACATAGCAACCTATGCAGACCCACTGTTTATGCTTTAACCTTGGCACTGACCTGCTACCATTTAAATTAAGCAATGTAAGACAGTTCCATAAATTTCATAAACACTTATTTGCGGTGCTCCAGTCTTGCCCAGTGCACACACTGAATAGTCTCATTAGTCAATCTAGTTAACACAAGCATTCCTATGCCATTAAAAATAAAAGCATATCATTAATATTGTGCAATGTTTTATTGAATGGCTATGTATAATCATGCCTTTGCATAGATCACTCTGATCCCCAATTTATTCAACTATAAACCGTACCTTTTATATTTTGGTTTATGTTGGCTTATTTACTTAGGACTGACTCTGCTGCTGGGCTCACTGATCAGCACGTCTAGCTTTTCTCTAATGGTGTAGACGTGCATGGTGTCCATATGCTTTACAAAGGTCGTACAGCTGTCAAAGGCGCATGGCTGTGACCTCAGCCCGAGGGAGGACAAGGAAAGAGGATGGCAAGTTCAATGCCAGCCTGATCTACATCGTGAGTCTGAGGCCAGCCTGGGCTATATAGCAAAACTCTGCCACAAACAAATAAGCAAAATAGTGGTGGGGGTTATCCACCACTATTGTGTATAAAACCATGGCAGTGTGTGTATAGGTACATACAGGTATGTGCACAAACATATGTACCACATTAAATACCAAAGAGTGACCTTTTGAGAATGCATAAAATGGTCTTACATGGAGACTAGTTAATAAGAAAATACAGTAAGACTAGTAACAAGGCAAGCATGTGGTTACTGGCCAGAATAAATTAGAGGACTAAAAACAATCGTTTAGTCAGTCATTTTATAGGTTAAGAGATTATTTTCACTTTACTAAGTGACTATGTTTAAGATTACTTACTTTGACAACTAGTTTACAGCACAGAAAACTAACAGTCCATCAGCATAGTGATGTAATATCTGAGTTCACTAGGAAAATGTTGGTCCCTAGAAGGCAAGATGCTTGCAACTCGTAGTCTAGCTTTGTGACGATGGGTGTCTGGCCAGAACCTCCCATCAGAAAGCCTTCTCTTTTCTTTCAGGTGTGGTAACTAGGGGTTGGGAAACTGCCCAGTCTCCTTTCCTCAAAGGGAGAAAATGAATTGGACAAGGATTGTCCTTAATTTGAATAAGATTTTTGCATGACTCTGAATAATGGGTGAGTTGGAGGGAAGTAGCAGGGAGTAGAAATAAGAAAAGTACACTGTATACAACTTGGCTCTTTCAAAGAATATATAAAAATATTCTTTAAAAGTTTCCTCAGGCCCGCGATGGTGGTGCATGCCTTTAATCCCAGCACTCAGGAGGCAGAGGCAGGCGAATCTCTGTGAGTTCAAGGTCAGCCTGGCCTACAGAGAGAGATCCAGGCCTGGCTCCATAGCTACTGAGAAACCTTATCTCAAAAAACCTAAAAAAGAAAAAAAAAATTTCCTGAAGCAACCAAGCACTTGGGAAGTAGAGGCAGGTAGATCTCTCTGAGTTTCAGGTCAGCCTGGTCTACAGAGCAAGTTCCAAGACAGCCAATACCACATAGAGAAACCCTGTCATAAAACCTCCCTGCTCCTCTGGAAAAAGAAAAAACAAACAGACAAACACATCGCTAGGCAAGGAATAAAATAAAGCAGTGTGGTCAAACGACTCTACTATAGATATCGTATATACTGTGCTATATACCATTTGGATCAGAAAGTACAGATTGTGACCATATAACTAGAATTCAAATTTTATATATGTTGAAAATATGAAAACATGTGATACAGATATTAATGGAGGCTAACAGTTAACCTTTTAAAGACCACGAGTGTTCTTTGATTTCTTGTGCACTGATTTCTGACTGACAGAGTAAGACATTGAGGAGACTCACAAATGCAGCTGGTTGTCACAATCCGTTAGCATCATTATCCAGTTTACCTGTGTTTGTGATCGCGCATGTGCATGTGAGTTCATTTCACTAATAATAAACTGACTTTTCGGGTCTGGAGAGTTGGCTCAGAGGACCTCGTTTGATTTTTACTACCCACAGGGTGGCTCACAACTGGTCCAAACCTTCTGTTCCAGTAGATCTGACACCCTCTTCTGACCTCTGTGAACACCAGACACGCACATGCTGCACAGATAAACATGTGAGCAAAACGCCTGTCAAAGTAATCTTTTTTTAAAAAATAAATCAAAGTAAATTGACTTTGAACATTAAATTTGACCTAAACCCACTTCTCTCCTTTTATTCCATAACATAACAGACATTGCTATGATGTCCTTCTAGTGTCTTTCCGTTTCTAACCAGGATGGATAGTCTGGCCGCCAGCCACGTGTGCTGCCTGAACTGGATGGGCAACGATGACCTCAAAGGCACTCTTTTTAGACGGAGCAAATTTAATATTGATCTTAACAGTGAAATTCTATGCTGTCTGATGTGTTACCAAACAAAACCCCACATACCTGAATAAAGTTGAATTCCCTCCAGTTTAAGGCGTTGCTCACTGAAGGGATTGAAGTGACTGCCAGGAGGGACAGTAAGCCCAGGCTCATGATGCCAAAGGAGATGTACATTTCAATTCTCCAAACCTCTTCCTCATTCCAGGCATTTTCAATATTCGCATGAACCTAACAAGAAAAGAAATGTGAGTTTCCTTTACTTCACAGGCTATTAACGGATTCGATGCACCGCTTACTCTGGGCCTGAAAAGAACCAGGCCACTTTTGACTGTGTTTAAGACAAATAGTGTTCATTCAGCATAATGAACCATTGTGGATAATCTGCTCTTAGTATTATCCCAGATGTAGAGAAAGGGCGACAGAGTGTTAAATCAAAACAGGACGAAGACTCCCCGCCTTTTCCAGCAAGTAAAGAGGGGAACAAGCCTATGCCAGTATGTCCAAAGTCAGTCACTACTGCAGAGGCCCTGAGTCCAAGGCCATGGAACACCAACTGATTGGTTCTCAAGTGGCGGAAAAGAAGTCTTTGTAGTCAGATGCAGCGCCAGGATGCTTTTACAGGTTCGTATACATGTGGCTGATGTTTGGAGTATGTTCTATGACGTCTAACTAGGGCTTCTATGCTATCTTCTTCTTCACCCAGTGTTGATGCCTCTCTCCTGGAAACCAAAATTGCCTCAGGATAAGGTTGTGTGGAGCTGAACTCTGTCCACTTGAACGACTCACTAACAGACCTTCCCAACTCCCAACTGCTTCTTTCACTTGCAGTATTTTTCTCCAAGCCCTACCCGTATGTTGCTACTACATATTAATCAGGTCTGACTGTGAATTTCTGGCAATCTGCAGAGTGAATACTTCTAGTATTATTTGTTTATCTATAGAGAATATAATTAGGGTAGGAGTTAAGAGTTGGACTCCTTCCACTGAAGATTTGGTTTAAGTGTGTATCTATTGGTGGATTACCATCTCAACCCTGCCCAGTTTCAGTTAACAAAGTACAGTCACATTAAAAAAAAAAAAAAGCTACTCCTACCAACATTGCAAAAGAACTCCTGAGCTTCTATGTTGAAACAGCTCCAGCCAAATTCCTGGCTACTGGGTGTGGTGGCTCATTCCTTTAATCCTAGCACTCAAGAGTCAGAGGCATGCAGGTCTCCATGAGTTCAAGACCAGCCTGGTTTACATGGCAAGTTCCAAGCCAGTGAGGGCTACATAATGAGACCCTGTCTCAAACAAAACAATCCCCCCAAAACATACTCCTCTCCAATATTGGCCCAGCTATCCAGAGGAGCAGCATATGCTGATATAGAGAGATCCTATGTCAAAAAACCAAAAACAGTACTTCTGCTCCCTAAATATTCCCAGAGAAAAATGCCGTTGTGAAGTACATATAAGTTTACACTGTCTTAACTCAGATTTTACAGCTCCTAAGGTAAGCCACGAGAGCCAGATGAATAACAAGCATGTCCAGTACCTGCTGATAAGCCATGTTGAGAAACAAGTATCTTTCTGACCTTCTCATCGGTAAGCAGAGGCTGTAGGCCACGTGGACAACAGCAAAGAAAAAGCTCAGCAGTCCCAGCTGCTTCCTGCACTGCAGCCACGTGTCCAGCCACGGTGGGAATCTGCGGTACTTGGTGCCGTAATAAAGCTGGTACGTAGCTGCCAGGAGGCCCGCCAGGTACACCAGGGACAGCAAAGTAATGGCGACTATAGGCAAGGTTTTGTTCACAATCTCAATAGGGATCTTGTAAAAGTCACTCTGCTGGTTTTGGGCATATGGATGTATCACATCTCTGACAAAGGAATAAAGGAAGAAAAACGTGGCCAGGCTTATGGCCACGACCACTGGTCCCCTCCAGAGAGTAAACAGTCGCAGGGGTAAATTTTCAATCTCCTTGGCTGATGATAAGGATCCCAGGTCAACAGGAACAAAATTCAACTGACGGGCAAGTTCAATAACCTGTTGTCGAGCCTGGATGTTGTTGCTGCATATATAGACCTGTAAGAAAACCCAAAAGGCTTGTTAACGCTGCTGTTTGTAGAAGCCACAAACTGTCCTCTATCTGTGGCGCCGTGTTTAATGACTGCTAATGATGCCAGCGAATGAAGATGAGAAAGGGGATTATTACCTGTAAGTTATTAAACAGACAAATACTACCATAGGCATCGTTTTAAAACAGTATCTTAACAATGAATTAATCAATCGAAAGTACCACATTATGGTTAGATATATTAGCATCTTAAAAGACAGACTTAAAACAGTGCCATAAAAGCACAAAAGTCTTTACCCCTACGATGAAAAAGCGCAGAGAATCTAGCTGCAACCCGGAAGGCGCAGAGAGGTTCTCCTGAGAGGGAGGCTGCTGGAGAAGGCCTGGCTTTCTGGGGCGCGTGGGTCAGCAGCAGCTGTGAAGGAAGTCATTCCCCTCCCCAGGTCTCTGTGGCCATCTCCTCCCAACCCAGCTTTCTAAGTGTGAGGCCGGATCTCCTTGTTTCTGTGGGCCACTTTTAGTTCTAGGAATGTAGGGATTCTGCCTCAGAGAGCGACGGAAAACACTGCCCCTCACAGTGATCCAGCCAGTGTACAGATGGGCATGGACTCCAGGGGGTGGCCTTCTCAAGTAAAATGTACAAACTGTGTCATCATGCTGGACAACCTGTAACATTTATCTTTAGGTTGAGAGGTCAATTCATTAAGTATCTGTCAACAAATGGGTAGTTCCAGGTATGCTGTTTTATTGATGAGCATATAAAATTTCTTTTTTTTTTGATAATTTCTCACAAGTAAAATGATGATTCTGTCAGGCTGCCTTAAACAGAATGGACCTGCCATTTCCCAAGACTAAACACATCATTTCTATAGGAGGAACTCTAATGATGTCGCAGGTAGGGTGAGGAGGCTTTGAAACCCCTTTGATACTGTGATCTTGTAAAAAAAATTCAACAAGTATTTGCTCCTGCAAGTTCACTGCTGGAGTGAGCTACTACTATGAACAGGAAGATCATCTCACTCAGAGCTAGAAAAATATTGATACAAAGTCTCTGGTGCAGTTTGAGGAAAACGAGTTTCCAGACGTCTGTGCACAGGCTCTGAGCGAGGCCATATGGAAGTGTTTGCTTGCTAAACCTATTTACACGAAGGAGTCAATACTGAGCTCGGCTTTCAGGTTTTGGCTCTCAGCTGACAGTAGTCAGCTTTATGAACTAATGATAAACTCGATGCTGTTAAACAAATACGGATTTCCGAAATGGGAACTCTTTTATAGCAAAGAAATAAGGAAAACATTCATATTAATTTACTGCAGATGTGGGGGCTGAGAGATGGCTCAGAGGTTAAGAGCACGGACTGTTCTTCCAGAGGTCCTGAGTTCAATTCCCAGCAACCACATGGTGGCTCACAACCATCTATAATGAGATTTGGTACCCTCTTCTGACCTGCAGGAATACATGTAGGCCGATGCTGTATACATAATTAATAAATAAATCTTAAAAAAATTATTGCAGGTGTGAAATAGTGGAACAAACCCTTTTTTCCTACAAGGAGAAAGGTCGATAAATAATAACATTATAATGACCCTTTTTCTTATTGGAGAAAAGCCTATAAATGATAACATATTATAATAACTCTAGAGCCATAAGTGAGGCATTCAAAACTGATGAAAGCTCATCATTCAACCATGATGAAGCACCAATTATCTGGCTCTTGTCACGATGGAGCTTGTAGCTCATTTTGAATTTGAATTTAATCACTGTTCCATGAGGGTTTTTCCATTAAAAATTAAAATGATCGTGAATATGAGCAAGGGATTATGTCAACTTTGTCTCATAGGCCCTGGCTCAAATTTGCCAATTTTATGGGATATGTTCCTTAAAAAGAAAGGAAGAACTGTTTCTAGAAGTGGGAGTGTGGTTCATGAACAAGCGCTTGCCTGTGCAAGGCCCTGATCTGATCTCTAACACAGGGATGGGAAAAGCATGCACTGTTTCAAATACTTGAGTCAGCTGTGGTGGCTTATGCCTGGAAATCTCCGTCTCTGGGAAAGCGCCACAAGGTAGAGGCAGAGTGAACTACAGTGTGAGACTGTCTCAAAAAACTGAAAGCAAGAAGAGGTGAGGGAGGGAGGGAGGGAGGAAAAGGGAAGGAGGGAAGGAGGGAAGGAGTAAGAAAATGGAGGGAGAGAGAGGGAGGGAGAGGGAGGGAGAGACTTGAAGTGAGCGATTACTCTAAAGGTCTTGTCAACGTGCTTGAATCTGAAATCCCTAAGGGAAGGTGAGGTGCACTTCCGGATGTGTCTGAGGGCATTTCCAGTGAGGAGTAACCAGGGTGGAAAAGGCTCACCCTGAAGGGTGGTGGGTCAACCATCCCATGGGCTGGGGGCCAGGATGAATAAAAGGAGAGAAAGGAGGGAGCCAGCAGGCTGGTGGCGTCACCCTTTCTTTGCATTCTGCCCTCTATCGCACGAACAGCTCTGCTCTATCTTTCTTCCCCACCACGATGGACTGAGCCCTCTGAAAATGTGAGCAAAGTAAACCTTTCTCACGTAAGTCCAGGCACTGTGTCATAGTGGCAGTAGGTACTCAATATGGAGTTCATGACCCTAACACATAGAATAAAATGATAACACATTCACCAACTAAAACATGGACTTGACTGTCTTTTTAAAAGATCTATTGTGTGTGTGTGTGTGTGTGTGTGTGTGTGTGTGTGCGCGCGCGCACATGAGGACAGGTGCTCACAGAGGTCTGAGTTGGAGCTACAGGGAGTTGTGAGCTCCCAGTGTGGGTGCTGAGACCCAAACTCCTGTCCTCTGCAAGAACAGTACCCTTCTCTAAACTGCTGAGCCATCACTCCAACTCCATAATTGTCTCTAGGAGTGAAAATGAAAAGGTTCTTTTCCCACAACCCTCAGATGCCTTTGAACTTGGTAATTCAAGGCCACACTTACCTGGCGGCTGGCATCCTTGGGCCCTAACTGAAGTGCCCAAGCTGAGATGACATTAAATCCTTTGACAATCAGCGAGTCCGGGAAGAGCGAAGCCAGGTACTCGGCGTTGGACTCTGGGTACTGATTTACCCTCATGTTGTTGCTGACGTCAATCAGGATTTTGCCCACAAGCAGGTGTCTCAGGTCCCACAGGGAGGTGTAATGTTCTCTATGGATAGCCACAAATATTATATTTGTTTTTGTTAACGCGTCTTCATGGTGGGTGACATCTACCACATGAGGAAAAAATTCAGACGCAAACTTAGGATTTCTGCTTCCTATGACCACGTGGTAGCCACACCTAATAAGCCGAATGGTCAGAGACTTGGCAAAATCCCCACTTCCTATCACGCCTACGGTGACCTTCCTTGCATCTTTGATACCATTTATGCCATTAGGCAAAAAAGTCTCCAGGCTCTTGGGGCTTCCCATCACAGAGATAGATTCCATGGTAGAAATGCTTCTAAGATCTCCAGAAATGTCCTAGAGGAGACAAGAGAGAATATTCACCAATTAAGCCTACTGACAAACGCTAAAATACTTCTAGACATTGTATTTATGTTCTGCATCTCTAAAGGCAAAATATTTTGACGTGTTATATAACCCAGAACACAGCAAGCACAATTGGTAAGCGAGAGATCTCTAAATAGAGAAACGAACACAGAGGTGATTAGCTAGGCGAGGCTTCGCGAGTTCACACAGATAACCTGGGAACCTTCAGTGTGGATTCTCACTCAGCCAGTCTGGAGGAAGGTTCATGCGTCTGCACTTCTAGAACACTGGTGTGGATGCTGCTGGGCTACGGATGCACCCATGTGTAGCAAGGCTTCCAGCGAAGGAGGACTTTCACGTAGGATGTTTGTCAGAAAGAGTTCTAGCAAGCACAAGCTGAACAGATCATGTGGCAAATCAGAAATGACACTAGAAGCAAAGGAAAGAACCTTGATACCAAGAGATAGCTTTTAAAAAAAATCCATAAAAACAAATTTCCATGCTATGCAACCAAAATGTACAGTCATTTGGGGTTGAGTCTATGAGTCATCTGGTATACCAGATTAACTACAGCTTTTTAAAGGCAACTAAAATAAAAAAGCCACAGTAAAATTAATACCGTCACTTGAACTATGCTGAAAAACAGGCATCAAAACCTAATGAAGAGCCAGACATGGTGGCACACATCTTAATCCCAACACTCAGGAGACAGAGACAGATCGATCTATATGGGGCCAGCTGGTCTATGTGGTGAGTTCCAAGGCCAACCAGGACTATATAGTGAGACCCTGTCTTAAATAAAATAAAATAAGAAAAAGAAAAAAAGAGAAAAACCAAACAAAAAACCTGCCAAAGGAATAATTAAATACCACAGACATCTTATCATTTGCCCTGTATGCCTTAACAATGCTTCCCTATGTAAAACGGTTTAGTTGTGTTTATGGGCTCAAACACACAGTATGTGTCTTCTCATTTTCTCTTCCAGCTAGGGAGATTATGATGTGGTTACCCTCCCTGGGGGTGGGGGTGGGACTGTCAAGTTATTTTTTATTGAAGTGACTGAAGTTTCTATTTGTAACAACTCGTTCACTCCCACAGGTCACATCAGTGTCTGATGTTTGCATCAGTGATGCACAAGCCATGCATCAGGGTCACTGCTGGCTCCGAGGGAAAACTGTTGCCCCATCTGCCCCCATGGTGCCATTTCATTCATGTTAACAGCAAATACAGCTCACTGCAGAAGTTAATGGATTTTACAGGCCCGCGTGGAATGCTTCGAAATGTGGACTTTTTTTTTTCCAGTTTTCGTTTTCTACTAAATAAAATTTTTGGAGTTAGGAAAACTCAACTCTCTATCCTAGCAATAACAGATCATACCCAATGACCCTGAATTGATTCCAAAACTAAATTTTAGAAGAACAACACTGATATTAATATTGCTTAATTCTTAAATAGTACAGGTTTCAGCTCTGCTTGATATTTTACATGTTAATCAAATCCATACAACCGCCCTGACGAAGGAGGGGCTATTATAATGCCTATTCGCAGACGAGACAGAAATAAATGCCATCAATTTGTCCAGCGTTGCAGGAGAACAAGGAAAGCCAGGATTAGAATGCCAAGGAAGGCGTGTGTCATTGGGTGGATGTGAGGGCATCTAAAAGGCTGAGTGTTTCGGCAGCTGCTGCTGCTAGCTGGGAAGCGGCTATGGGGACAGAGCGGAGCAGTCATGTTCGTATTTGTGACATTCTTTGGCTATTTCTCTGCTCTCCAGCACTACATAGTGATTTTAATGTCTAACTTAGGTGAACGGGGGAAATTCCCGTCTTTACATCTATTACATGTCTCATTTCGTGCCTTTTAAGTCAGGAATGGTAATTATGCTCTCAGACCGTCCTAGGCAACCAGGCAGTACAAAGCCATCCTCACATTCCGGGAACATCCGAGGAATCAGAAGTTAAAGGAACCATAAGCTGTGAAACCAGTACTCAGTCCATTTCTAAATCAAGGGTGAAATTACCAACGTACCTTCCCCCATACACACGTTACCTAAGGATGAAAAGTCTTACTAGATTCACTCGGAAAGCCAGGGATTCCCACCAACCCCAGCTATTCACATACACTACAGCAGCCCTCACGTAAGAACTGCAAAACCTTCCAAACTAAGAATCATGATGTTAAGGCCTTTTCAAATTAAAAATAAAACACAAAGAAATTAATCACTTATCTGCTGTTTTTAATACAACAAGTTTAGACTTCTCTAAATCAGGGTGTGAAGAAGTATATAAATACCTTAGATCCTAAAAATGCCATCAGTGGCCTCTCATTAAACCACAAATTTTATATCTATTAATGGGCAACCCTTGTACTTACATGTTTGGACCTTATTCGCATAGTGTTCCTGATGGCAAGTTCTAACTGGACCCTAACAGTGTGGTGTGACTAGGAACAAAATTAACCTAATAAATAATGAACCTCTTTCCGTATAGGGTTAAGGGGTGTGTGTGTGTGTGTGTGTGTGTGTGTGTGTGTGTGTATGTGTGTGTGTATGGGGGGTAATTTTATTATCTACTGTGTGCATTGGTACAGATGCATGTCTGTACCAATGGAGGCCAGGGGAGACAGCAGTTTTCTCTTTACTGAGGGCTCAGGGGATCGAACACCGATCAGCAGATTCGCACAGCAGACACTTTTACCCACACCGCCATCTTGCCAGCCCAAGAGAGAACTCTCATGGATCCAAGAACCAAAATGTTTATTGTTGAAACCATATCCCACACTTTTGTGTGTTATTTCATGGAGTATTCTTATACATAATATTACTTTGTTAAATCCTCAGGTGGAGAGAGAACATATATTACCTTCCATCTAAATGAAGCGTAAGCTCCAAAGAACTAAGCAATTTGCCAGCAAGAATTCCAATAGAAGTCTTCTAACCCCCAACAGGGCTTTTAATCCCAGCACTCTGTAGGCAGAGGGAGCTACGAGAGAGCCTGGGCTCCATAATGAGAGCAGTTTTAAAAACAACAACAACAAAAAATCTTCTAACGTCTGCTCATTCTGAGGCTGCAGAGTGAACCTACAGGGAAACTAGCAATTGGTTTCCATCTCCAAAGGTCATCTGTGTGTTTCGAAAAACAATAGTAACTTTAACTATTATCTTAGCGTGGGCTATCTCATAACAAATGATCGGAATTTATTAACACTGTAAAATGAAACATGAAGGCTCTCTAAGTAACGCTTGGTAAACTTCAGGGGAGGGGCCATGTGCCTTCTAGGGAGTCTGTAACCATCTTGAAGATATGTCTTGCTTATAGAGGGGAGCAAAAAGAAAGGGCCGAAGAGTGTGTTCCAATCCCACGGGAGTCCCCGATTTCGGACCTAAGAGTAGGCAGGCCATCTCGCACAAGTAACGCATATATGTGGTGTTCAGACAGCAGGGCAGAAACTTGACTCATCTGTAATTCGTTCATCTAGTATTCTGGATCGTTTCCTTGTGGTATCTCCGAAGCGAATACATGGGTTATTAATGACATCTCCACGTTCATCTAGTTAAGAAGAGAAAGCTCTGGAAGCTCTACAGCACACATTTCAGCTGACAAGGAATGATGCAGTTACAGTCTCAAGGCACATCTGCCCTGCGGTGACCCAACACGAATGTATCCGGGTCCCCTGCGCGCGCTGTACATAAGAGATAGAAAGTCAGGGAAGACACAGTGCGGACACGCAGAATTCAGGCTCATTTGGCAGAGACAGGATGTGCTGATAATAAAAAGCATAATAAAAAATTCATCAGCTTAGAATAAAAAAACTAAATTGTATAGTCAGAGCATACCCTAGACAGTCAGCATGTACTTGTTCCCTTACTTCAACACACACTCTCTCTCTTTCCCTCTCTCTCTGTTTTATTTTTTTAAGATTTATTTATTATTTTATGTGTATGGCTGCTTTGTCTGTGTGTATGTCTACACACCAGAAGAAGGCACAGGACCACAGTTATAGCTGGTTGGAAGCTACCACGTGGGTGCCAGGAATCAAACCTGGGCACCTCTGGAAGAACAGCCAGTTAATCACTGAACCATCTCTCCCGTTCCCCATGTTATATGTGTGAAAGACAATAAATTTGTATTTACAAACTACTCCCTAATTCACGTATAACTTCTGCATCATTTTGATGACAGCGTACCATAAACGCAGTCTAAAACTAGGAATGCCTCAAAGGGAATCTGGCTTTCTCAGCCTTTCCTGCTGTGACTCCTGAATACCAATAGAAACACATAGAGGAAGCAAGGTGATCTTCAGTTGTGCCCCTTTAAAAAGCATCCTTCACATTGTAGAGTGTATCTTTCTTACTTTTGTGCATCAAATGTTCTTTTTTTCAGGAAAGGGTAATGCTAACGTCTGTCTGTCTGTACTGGCAATCATGTGCAATCCCTTTCTCTATTCCTTATTTTATTGGGTTGTAAAACTACCAAGCTTCCAAGGGTCATAATTTTCACAGCCAGTAGGAGGTTCCACATAGGAATGCCCCATAGCGGTTAGGAGAAAATGCCTTTCCCCAGAGGGAAGGTACCCTGGAGTCAGCCCCCACCCCCACCCTCAGTTGTCTGCTTAGTCATCCGCAAAAGGCAGGAGCGCATTCCAGAAAGGGAATGTCAGATATCTCAAACCAATTTTCTCTAACTCAATGATGACTTTAACCATTGCAACTTCAGCCTGTGCTAAGACAGTCCCTAAATTCTCTTGACATGTAAACAAACAAGTACAACCCAACTTCTTACTCTCGGACAGTAACAGATTTCTACGGGTATAAAAAAGAGTTTTTGTTTTGCTTAGGGATTTTGAACATTTTCAGAAAGGTCAGAAAACCCCGAAGTCAAGGCTATGGCTCTTCTTGAAGCAGGCGTGTGATTTCCTAGTGCAGTGGTTGTTCCAGAGTGGCTTCAGATTCCCACGGTTCATTACGTGTTCAATAACTTAGATTCAATATG